TCATTTCGAGCTCATCATGTCTCCTGAGTCCAAGAGGATGGTGATTTGATTTGGGGTATGGATACTGTGCCCATTGGCATCCTCAGTCCTACATGCACATTTAGTGTCAGCTCTTACATGAGTGGAGAAGCTTTCTCCAGCTCCTTGCAGCAATGTGGCAAGTGGTGATGCCCAGGCCTGATCCAGTGATCCCCATGGGTATCTCTGGCTTATTTAAGAAATGTCTTTAAAAGTAACCACAATGGGACACAGTGGTGGGGACTACTGAGACCAAGAGCATTAAAATAAAAAAGAAATGGCCCTGGCTGGTGTAGCTCAGTGCACTGAGCGCAGGCCTGTGAACCAAAAGGTCGCAGTTTGATTCCCAGTCAGGGCACATGCCTGGGTTGCAGGCCAGGCCCGTAACAGGGGGTGCATGAGAGGCAACCACAAACTGATGTTCCCTCTCTCTCCTTCCCTTCTCTCTCAAAAATAAATAAATAAACTCTTTTAAAAAATAAAAAAGAGCGCGGGCTGTGAACCAAAGTGTCACAGGTTCAATTCCCAGTCAGGGTACATGCCTGGGTTGCAGGCCATAACCCCCAGCAACCACACATTGGTGTTTCTCTCTCTCTCTCTCTTTCTCCCTCCCTTCCCTCTCTAAAAAAATAAATAAATAAATAAAATTTTAAAAAAATAATTAAAAATTTTAAAAAGAAATAGTGATGAGAGTATGAGGAGGTCTGTACAGAAAACATAAATAGCAATGAGATGAGTTCCCCCCATTTCCCATATAGTGAACACATCTGCCAAAACTCAAAATGTGTATTAGCCACTCAGCCACTGGCAGATTGCCGAAGAGCAGAGCAGAAGATGCTAACTTATGCTACCTTGATGCTGCCATCCCTGTCTTTGTGGTGGGCTATGTTACAATGAAGAAATGGGTCCTGTGGCATTCTCATCACCTTCTTTGGTTACTTACAAATACGCACTTTCTTGCCTTGCATCCCTTTTAAAGGTTCCTGAGAGAAATGTCCATAAGACGGAAATAGTAAGTACTACATTTGTTGAAATTATTATGATGTCAGCTTAGTAGGCCACAAGAGTGTAGATTAGATGAGCTCCCTTTTAATACTACTATGAGGGAACTGAACAATAAGGACTGTTGCTTGCCTTGGATTGGTTGATTGGGTTGGCATGTTGGCTTACACAATGCCTCACTCCGAAGTAATTTAAAACAACACTTACCAAACACTGTTGTCACCTTCTATACACTGTAATTGTAGGTGAGAGGCACAGTTAGACTTATGACATAGTCAGTAATATCCAAGCTCTTCTCAGGCATTTACCATGTTAGACCCCAGCTGGATGCAGAGTAGTTACAATGAGAAATTAAACAGTCCCTGATCCGAAGGACCTTGCTGTCTTATGGTAGAAATGGACCCGACCAAGTGTAACGACAGTGAGATGGCAATGATTGCCCGTGTACAACTCCAGTGCGGGTCTGACTGTGATGGTTTTGTTGTATTTCTTTTTTTATCCAAATATCTCAGGACTCATTAACTGACAGAACTTTTTTAGTTGAAATTTTATTTAAGTACTTCAGAATTCTTTTTTATCCTTTAAATATATTTTTTTACTATGCTATTACAGTTGTCCCTTTTTTCTCCCTTTTATTCCTCTCCTCCCTACACACTCTCCCACCCTCCATTCCCCTCCCCCACACCTTAGTTCGTGTCCATGAATCGTACATATAAGTTTTCTGGCTTCTCCACTTCCTATATCACTCTTAACCTCCCTTGTCTATTTTGGACATACCATTTATGCTGCTTATTCCCTGTACCTTTTCCTCCATTCTACCTCCTCCCCATACCCACTGATAACCCTCCATGTGATCTCCATTTCTGTGAATCTGTTTCTGTTCTAGTTGCTTGCTTAGTTTGTTTTTGTTTTTTAGGTTCAGTTGTTGATGTGAGTTTGTTGTCATTTTACTGTTCATAGTTTTGATCTTCTTTTTCTTAGATACGTGCATTTAACATTTTATAAAATAAGGGCTTGGTGATGATGAACTCCTTTAACTTGACCTTATCTGGGAAGCACCTTATCTGCCCTTACATTCTAAATGATAGCTTTGCTGGATAGAGTAATCTTGGATCTAGGTCCTTGCCTTTCATGCCTTTGAATACTTCTTCCCAGCCCCTTCTTGCATGATAAGTTTCTTTTGAGAAATCAGCTGACAGTCTTATGGGAACTCTTTTGTAAGTAACTATCTCCTTTTCTCTTGCTGCTTTTAAGATTCTCTGCCTATTTTTAATCTTGGGTAATGTAATTATGATGTGCCTTGGTGTGTGCTTCCTTGGGTCCAACTTCTTTGGGGCTCTCTGAGCTGCCTGGACTTCCTAGCAGTCTATTTCCTTCGCTATATTAGGAAAGATCTTCTTCGTTATGTTTTCAAATAAGTTTTCAATGTCTTGCTCATCTTCTTCTTCTGGCACCCCTATGATTCAGATATTGGAACATTTAAAGTTGTTCTGGAGGTTCCTAAGCCTCTGCTCATTTTTTTAATTCTTATTTCTTCATTCTGTTCTGGTTGAATGTTTATTTCTTCCTTCTGCTCCAAATTGTTGATTTGAGTCCCAGTTTTCTCCCCTCACAATTGGTTCCTTGTACATTTTCCTTGATTTTACTTTGCAGAGCCTTCACATTTTCCTCTATTTTGCAACCATACTCAGCCATTTCTGTGAGCATCCTGAATAGCAACGTTTTGAACTCTGCATCTGATAGGTTAGCTATCTCTTCATCACTTAGTTGTATTTTTTCTGGAGCTTTGATCTGTTCTTTCATTTGGGCCATTTTTTTTGTCTTGGCATACCTGTTACATAGTGAGGGACAGAGCCTTCATTCACCAGGACAGACAACCCACATTGCTGCTTTGTGGCTGATGAATGTCAGGGAGCCGTCCAAGAGGGAACAGTGCTACCTGCTCTGCTCTTGGCTGGCTTTCAGTCACTTCTCCCACTTCCCACAAGCAAATTGGGCCCTTCTGGTGCTGATTCCTGGGTAGGTGGGTTTGTGTACATTCTAGGACCCTGTGGGTCTCTTCAATGAACTCTCCTGTGAGGCTGGGAGTTTCTCCCACCACCACAATACCCACAGGTTTTTACAGTCAGAGGTTTTGAGGCTTTATTTCCCCACTCTGGAACTCTGGGTTGCGCTGTCTGTCTCACTCCCCAGTTGTCCCTCTGTGTTTATCCACACACAAATGTGGAACTGCCCAGTTGTCCAGACACTGCCTTGCTGCATGTGTCCTCTCCACCATGGCTACCCATCTCACCCCTCCTACCAGTCCAGATGAATGTTTCTTCTTTAACTCCTTGGTGCTGAACTTCCATACAATTCGATTTTCTGACAGTTCTGGTTATTTTTTGTTTTTAAATTTGTTGTTGTCCTTCTTTTGGTTGTGTGAGGCGGCAGAGTATATCTACCTGCACCTCCATCTTGGCCGGAAGTCTAGTACTTCAAAATTCTTAACTATTAAAATCCCATTCAGTTACATATCTAAGAAATGTCTCTTACTAAAAAGAATGCAACAATTTGAAATCAGTGCTGCCCTGGAGAACCACGATATTTCCTCACTCTGGCAATGGAGGCTGAGAAGATGGTGTCATTCCTTCTTCCTGGGAAGTTTGGAGAGGGCTCCCAGAGAAGCTGACGTCCAAGTTGAACCATGAACAGCAGATATCAGTCCTCAAAACAGTTTTGGGTCTGTGTGCTGTGGTGAATTTAATACATGTGGTATGTCAGACACAACGCCTCCCAGTTCATCTTGCTCTACACTTACTCCTCTAGGAAAGATTTTTAAATCACTTGTACAATAGCTTCCAGCAAGGACCCCATGATTATTGCTTTTTTTTTAACCTGATTTCTAATTTATAGACCTGCCTCCCCTCCCTATGGGGTCATCAGTGCTTGCAAAAACCTAGAGGATGCGTGGTTTTGCATAGAGAGTAAGGAAGCCTGCCCCAAACACCAGCAAGTTTAATCCACTTCCATCAGAAAAAAACAACTGGCCTTAGGCAACGTATTTCTAATTGTCTAAGTTATTCTCTCTGTGTGTACACGCGTATGCACAAGCTGTGCATAAATAGCACATTTCCAATCTGTGTGAAATATAATGGATGAGCAGCACATGACAGTAGGCTTAGCCCCTGAAGATTTACCAGGAAAGAAGACAGCTGCATGGCAAAGCTGCTGCTTATAATTAGGGAAGGACTAGCCCGTGTCCTGTGCCACTCAGCGGCTTCAACTATTCAAATGACAGCCAGTTTGTTTAGGTCTGTAACCCCCATTCTTTATGGGTGCAGCATTAATTTCTTCTTGAGAACACTGCTTTGGATTGTCATCATCTCTGGTGTCATTGTAAGATCAGGGATGACATGATAATTGAAAAATCCCAACTAGAAACCATGATGAATGAGCAAAATAGGAGTTGCTTTTAACATCTCTTTTTAACTTTTAGGTGATGGAAAAAAACTATTTTTAAACCCTACAGGCTTTCAGTTTTTAACAGTCGTATTGCCAGTTACGCGGTTCACAAGAAAACTATACTGCTTTCTTGGGCTCCGGGGAGCTGCAGGAAGTGTCTCAGCACTCCTGATGCAGAATGGCTCTCAATAGCACTGATTGGGAGGGAAATTAATAGGCATCCCATTGTTACCGTGCATTTTTGCCAGGATATTTCATTAATGTAAACACTGAGCCCTTTGTCATCTTGTTTAGCCACTTGACCCTGGTGATTTTCAATTCTGTGTGTCCCTGATGAAATCAAGCAGTGGCATGCATGAGACAGGCACTAATTATGGAAGCAGAGTCATTGCTGACCCAGTACTGATTAAACTGATCCTCTGCTGTCTTTGTTCTGGGACATTAGCACTGTCTGGTTATCTTGCTTCAGTTGAGGGATTCAGGACAATAGCGGTGCTGATGGTAACTTCATGGCAATTTCCCTGTTTGTTTTGCAGGTCACAGCCAGGGGCTTTGGGCCACTGTTGCAGTTTGCCTACACCGCCAAGCTGTTACTCAGCAGAGAAAACATCCGCGAGGTCATTCGCTGTGCCGAGTTCCTGCGCATGCACAACCTGGAGGACTCCTGCTTCAGCTTCCTGCAGACCCAGCTCCTGAACAGCGAGGATGGCCTGTTCGTGTGCCGGAAGGACTCGGCTTGCCCGCGCCCGCGCGAGGACCATGAGAACTCCGCGGGAGAGGAGGAGGAGGAAGAGGAGGAGACGATGGATTCAGAGACAGCTAAGATGGCCTGCCCCAGGGACCAGACGCTTCCACACCCCATCAGCTTCGAGGCCACTACCATCCCAGTAGCACAGAAGGAGGAAGCTTTGCTTCCCGAGTCAGATGGGCCTACGGACACGAAGGAGAGCTCCGAAAAGGATGCGTTAACACAGTACCCCCGATACAAGAAATACCAGCTTGCATGTACCAAGAATGTCTACAATGCATCATCCCACAGTACCTCAGGTTTTGCAAGCACATTCAGTGAAGATAACTCCGGCAACAGCCTCAAGCCGGCGCTAGCCATGGGGCAGATTAAAAGTGAGCCGCCCAGTGAAGAGAATGAGGAAGAGAGCATCACGCTCTGCTTGTCCGGAGACGAGCCTGACATCAAGGACCGAGCAGGGGATGTGGAAATGGACCCGAAGCAGCCCAGCCCCGCGCCCGCCCCTGCCCCCCATCCCGGGGTCGCCTTCCTGGAGAGATCCAGGAGTGTGTCCTCTCCCTCCTGCCTAAGGTCTCTATTCAGCATAACAAAAAGTGCGGAGTTGCCTGGCCTGCCCAGTACATCTCAGCAGCACTATGCCAGGAGTTCTGCATGCCCTTTCGACAAGGGCATCACTCAGGGTGACCTTAAAACAGACTACGCCCCTTTCACGGGGAATTATGGACAGGCCCATGTGGGCCAGAAGGATACGTCCAACTTCACAATGGGGTCGCCCCTCAAGGGCCCTGGGGTGGAGGCTCTCTGTAAACAAGAAGGAGAAGTGGACCGGAGAAGTGTGATCTTCTCCTCGAGCACTTGTGACCAAGTGAGCACTTCGGTGCATTCGTATTCTGGGGTAAGCAGTTTGGACAAAGACCTCTCTGAGCCGGTGCCAAAGGGTCTGTGGGTGGGGGCTGTCCAGTCCCTGCCAAGCTCACAGGCCTACTCCCACGGTGGGCTGATGGCTGACCACTTGCCAGGAAGGATGCGATCCAACACTAGCTGCCCGGTGCCAATCAAGGTCTGCCCTCGGTCGCCCCCCCTGGAGACCAGGACCAGGACTTCCAGCTCGTGCTCCTCCTATTCCTACGCAGAGGACGGGAGTGGGGGCTCGCCCTGCAGCCTCCCTCTCTGCGACTTCTCCTCCTCACCCTGTTCCCAGGGAGCCAGATTCCTTGCCACAGAACATCAGGAACCAGGCCTGATGGGAGATGGAATGTACAACCAAGTCCGACCCCAAATTAAATGTGAGCAGTCTTACGGAACCAACTCCAGTGACGAGTCCGGATCGTTCTCGGAAGCAGACAGTGAGTCGTGTCCTGTGCAGGACAGGGGCCAGGAGGTAGGGAACCCGCATAAATTCAAGCATGTCATCCACTCCCCCAGTCCTTTATCTGGACTTTCCCTGCCTCCCTCGCCACCACTCACACATGGTTTATTTGCCAAGATTAAAGGTTACAGTAAAGGGACTGCCTCCCCTGTTCACGGAGGCAGGATGCTTTAAGGTGATTGCAAATTAACCACTTTTGTCCTAGAAAGCATTTGAGGTTTGATCTAGATGTAATACTCAACTAGCAGAGACAAGCAGCTTGCTGAAAAAGTATCCTGTGTGGAAGCATGCTCAGGTGCTTCAGACACTCCTGCTCCTCCCCGTCTTCTCCTCCTGCATCTGCTATGAAAGGGGGCTGTACTTGTCACCTCTGTCCTTGCTGCTCACCCCTTCAGTGTAAAGGGAAACAGAAACACTTTCAAAATTGAGACCAGATAGGTCTACACTAAACGGGTGCTTTTCCAGCACCTTTAAGTTTTCCTTGTCACCAGAAGACCCTGGGGCCATCCCGCGTTCATAGCGATGCTCACGGGCAGCTCACCCTCCGTTCTGGTCCTGGGGTCACTGCAGAAGCACCCTAATCAGTCACACAAAATGGTATAACACTGTTTCCCAACCTCCCTATAAATAGAAGGTATTTCGGGGAGTAGTGAGGGTGAATGGCAGTCTCCATGCACCCTGGAAGCAAAGTACTTTCTAGGTAAAAATTCCCAAAGGCTCCGTCCATGTCTCACCAATGCTGGGAGAGGGAGCAGGAGCAACACCAGCCACATTGTCAACAAGACTCACGTGGCTAAGGAGAGAAAGATCGGATGCCTGTACAGTCCCCATCTCCCCATAACCTCAGAGGCAAAGATGCGAGGATGTCTGGGTCACAGTCGGCACTGCCTAGCTGATTGATAAGGAAGCAACCTGAGACTGCCACCTGTGTCTCAGACCTGCCTCGGGAGCTCACGTGAGTGAATCCAGTGAGAGGTCCACCCTCAGAGCTGCTTATCCGACAGACACGGGAAGAAACACAGCATGGTCCTCACCAGGCCATGTGCATGTCTGCACTCCCCAGATTTCAGCCTCTGGTAAAGTGGGGATGTTAACCTAATGAGGCAGCAGAAGTGCCACGTGGGTGAGATGGCTTTTCAGAGACCCTCGGACGGCTTATCTAGTCTCTGCAAGATTGGGAAGAAACACCTGAGATTTTAGTTCAGGCGTATATTGAAGAGATTCCAGAGCTCCCCGTGCCAACTGCAGACTTGCTCCGTGGTCATTTCCTTGTTTTGCTGGATAGCCTGGTCCCTCTCTCCTTTTGACCTGGCAACAAAAAAAAAAAAAAACGAAGACAAGGTTTAATTTAGTTAAAAGAAATTATAAAGAAAATGTGAATGGGAGGTATTTCTGCGCAGACACACCATACCCGCTCAGGTTTGGGAGGGAGGCTTGTGCCAGGCGGAGGTGCATCTGCGTCTGTGTGTTCGACCTGAGAGGATGCAAGGTTTGTGAAAACAGCAAAAGGTCGTGCTCTCTCTTTCCTCACTGGCTTCTTTTCCTCCAATCACAACTTTTGTGAGGTTGCCTTTTTTCCCCTGAAACTTTCCATAAGTGTCCCTGATGCAGAAGCCTGGTCTGGTTCATTGGCATAATGATTTATCTTGCCAAGGATTGATGTCACAAAAAAAATGCCTCCAAATCTTTGTTTAATTTTTGTGTCTCCCTCAAGAGGAGCCCTGCCATTAAGCTAAAGGAATTGTGTTTTCATGTTGTTTGCACATGCTCAAGAAACTCCCCGTTTCAGATAGGTCTCCTTTTGTCCCTCTACTCTCCCAGAAGTCAGCTTGAAGTCACCTCTGAACTAAATCACACCGACAAGAGTCCACGGTTTTCCCTGTGTTCAGGCCATACCATGCATCTGCCATAGACCTTTTCAGGTCTCTGTGACTCAGTTAAGAGGAGGGCTCATTCAACCTATAGAAATACTAGTAAGCAGGACTGATCTCTCCCTGCAAAATACCATTACTTTCAAAAATACCTGTTTTTAAAAAATGGGCTTTTTGTATCTTACCAAAGCTGAGTACCATTTCAGAAATCACACTTCGCCTCTCTCAGTAGTACATTTTGAACAGGACTGATAAAGGAAAGCTAAGCCTTTTCCCAGCTTGACAGTTCAGTTCTCCTAGAGTGAAGGAGCTCAGGTTTCCGAGAACGGTCTGGGGACTCAGCACCACTGCTCCTAGCCGAGTCCGTAAGTAGCTTACAGGAGGCCCTCTGGCCCTGGTGGCCATGCGTCCCCAGTAACGGCAGTGAGGGTGAACCCCTGACCACATGAATCGTAGCTCAGATTCCTGAACTGATCCAGAAGAATCGACATCTACTGGGCTGATTCTGCCCCAGTCTGCTCTTGTATAAGATCCAGGTAACTTCTCTTCCAAGTGAACCCCAAGGAGAGACCAGGGGCAGAAACCAAAAAGAGTTCTCAGCTCCAATTAGCCCCCTGCCCAGTTCTTCGGGCTGACTTCGGCGAAAGCCAGAACGTTAGATCAAAGGAAGTGTTGGCATACCTTGTATTCTGTAAGGTGTTCAAGTTTGACCCTGTCAACTCTCCCATCTCATCAACATTGACCTTTCTCATTCTTTTTAACTATTCTCTGGCTCTGAAGAAGGCTTAAATTAGCACAATATTGTCGTTAATCAACAATCAGCCTTTTAAAATTACTTTCCTTTTTAAAATAACCAAAACAGCATACCCGGCTCCTAACATACCAAATTTGACAATCAGGCTTTCTCCGTACCCACAATTTACAAACATATATTCGTATCCCTAGAGGTTGGGGTTTTATTTTAATGGCATTTACTGTATAATCACTCAGCACCTTGCTGCTTTACATCACTGTCATCATGTCCATGCTGCTAGGTCAGTCACAGAGGGCTGCTTTCACACCCACGGGTCCCAAAATCACAAGTTATCCAGCTGTCATCTCTCAACAGCCAGCCCAGCCGCTCCCAGTTCTTCCCTCTTATAAACATTTGCTGCAATAAACATGTTTGTGAATGTATTTAGTAGTGGTGATTTTATTTTTATGGGTTAGTTCCTTCAGTGAGTTAAAGGTTATGCTCATTCACAAAATACTGCCCAGCCACGCCCCCAAAGGCTGTAGCGATTCACGTGTCCCCCAGCAGTGTCCCCTGTCCTTGCCGGCACTGGTTATTGTCAGCCCGTCTTCCTGTCTGTTGGCAACTGAGGAGCTTGACGTCTTTGTCCATTTTCTTTTGTGGTGTTTGTCTCTAAATCAACTTACAGTATCTTTAATGCTTAATACAGGAATATTAACCCTTTCTGGTAAATGTTTTCTGTTTTTTTCTAGTGTCTTCCTTTATGGTATCTTTTTCTACATAGGAAATGTTACTTTTTTTGTAATTGTTCTCCATCCTTTTTTAAATGACTTCTGGTTTTGCTATTTACTTAAAAAGCCAGCTTGGACATTTTTTTTCTTCCAGTGATGAAAAAATGAATCCACCGTCTGAAGTGACAAAAATAACAAGACAGTATGCCTAACGAGAGCTCAGTTCGCTTCAGAATGGGAGGCAGAGTTGGGGAGAAGTACAGGGAGGCGTTTCATTCCTTTGTGTTTCTATAATATTTGGCTTTTACTATGTATATCTCACACAGGTTCATTTTTTTTCATTGAGATATAATTCACATACCGTAAAATTCACACCATTAAAGTGAACAAGCCGAGGGTTTTCAGTGGTTCACAAAATGCCATGACGGCCACCACTCTCATCCCAGGACATTTTCTCCCCTCTGGAAGCAACGCCACCCCCCCCACCGCCGCCCTCCCTGCCCCACCCTCGGCTCAGGAAACCGCTGCTCTGCGCTCCGTCTCTGCACAGTCGCATGTTCCGTACAGGTTATGTCAATGAGATCTTACATGTGGTGGCCTTTCAGGTCTGGCTTCTTTCGCCAAACAGCATGTTATCAAGGTTTATTCTTGACACCGATGTGCCCACTGGGCATGTCGTGCATTAGTGCGTCATTTCTTCTTATCACTCCATAATGCTCCGCCGGGTAGATACACCGCGCTTTGGTGACCCAGTCATCAGTTTAGGGAGGTTTGGAATTTTTATGCTTTTTGACTCCTACCGCTAATGCTGCTGTGAGCACTTGTGTACGAGTTTTTCTGTGGACATGTTTCCAGTTCTCTTCATTACGTACGTAGGAGGGGAATTGCTGAATCATATGATAACTCTGTTTAACCTTTTTAGGAATTATCAGACTGTTTTCCAAGGTAACTGCCCCATTTTTCATTCCACCAGTAGTGTATGAGGGATCAAATTGCTCCAACTCCCTGCCAACATTTGTTATGGTCCATGTTTTTTATTATAGCCATTCTAGTGGGTGTGAAGTAGTATCTTGTTTTGGTTCTCAGGTTCATTTTTAAAATTTGAAAATTAGAGAAAAGTCACAAGTATTTCTGCAAGTAGTAAGCTTCTTGGCAAGACAGTGTTGCACCACAAGCATTTCTAACTCATTGTGACTTTTAGTGAAGAGCACTAGAAAGACAGCCAGAAGTACTGGTTAGTTGGACTTGTTTCATTAACACGTTTCATGTTGAGAGGGATAAAAGTATATGAGAGTGAGTGTGTGTATCCACGTGTGTCTGTGAAGGGGCCAGGGTGGGAGGACCAAGGGCCCTGCAAACACTGACACAGAACAGCCTAGAAGAGCTGTGTCTGACTCTGCCTCCCACCCAAACTCAGACTTCCAGACATACACTGTATGTAAATCTTTTACAGTTGTTTTTGTGGTTTGTTTAATCAAGCATCTTTTCAAAATATCTGTAATTGGTCTACTTACTAAAAAGAAGGCCTTGCTGGGCAGCACAGACACCAGCCAGGTTTCTCATTAACCAGCTTCTTGTGCGGTCTAGAACGCCACTCTCAGCATCTGGGATTGCAAAGCGTGCCGCATGTCTAGAAGAAGAAACCATGCGACAAAGAAAGAATTGATAGAAATAATA